CCTCTGTGTGCTCCCGGGGGAACCTGGGCCAGCCATCTCCCCCTCCCTCCGCCCAGCCTCAGTTTCTCATCTGAAAACTGACCATGGGGGACTTGGAACAGATTCACAGTGGCACTGGTGGAGCTAGTGGCTTGGAGCAAGGAGCCAGCATCAGGGACAGGGCCTGGGAAAGTGAGTCACCTAATTCTTGGCTTTGCAAAGACAACAGGGGACAGCATGCACACACATGCGCCAGGCACACATGCACAGCTGTGTCCCATGTAGGAAGGAGACCCCAGGCCCCGCCCAGGCCCCTTCTCCCCCAGTTAGCTGGATCCACAGGGCACGAGCTGTGGGAGGGGACAGTCACCTTCCCCACAGTCTCTCAGAGCTGCTGGCACTGGGTCCTGGCCACCATCCCTCTACCCAACTCTGATTCAACCTCCAGCTCTGGCCAAATGGAGTTGCAAACTGGTGGTCTGGGAGACGAACCTGGCCCTCTGGTGGGTTGGAATGCTTTTTTAAAAATTAATTGAGCCAACATTTTAAAGAAATGCATATATTACATAAAAGCACTTGGAGCGGCCCTTCTGGAAACAGTTTCCAGCCCCATTGGTCCTGTTCCCAAGGGGCGGCAGTCCACGGAGCTGAGAAGCACTGCTGTTTAGACAAGGCCTGTGCTCCAGTCCCCACCAGCCCCTCTTGTCTTTCCAGAGCTAAGGCCAAGAAACAGTGATGTTCTATCATCGCGGTGCTCTCTACACATTCGAAATCCCCGCCTGGTCACTCGTGGTGCTATTTTTGGACCTGAGCCAGGCTCTTTTCCCTCTGTAACTAGCAAGCTATGGGCTCGACTTCCAGCCCTGAGTCTGTCCCCTCCATCCGCGAGTCTCTTAGCACCTCAGGACACTGTTGGCCTCTCCCTCTGCCCTGCAAGGCCCAGCACCATGCTGGGGTGGGGTGGGGTGGGGTAGGGTGGGGGACAGTGCTGCCCTGAGACTTGGCTAGGGTCTGTGGACCTGTGGGAGGCAGAGGCACATCTGCTCAAAGACTGTCAGCTGGGCTGCTCACACTGCTTGCTGCAGCTCATCCCTGAAGCAGTGGGACAGGAGCGGGGCTGGCAGACTGCGGGCCTCCGGTAGCAGTTGTCTGAGAGGAGGAGGGGAGGGCAGGAGGCAGAGCTGCTTTGGCAGAAAGTACCTGACATAAAGAGGCAGGAGGACTGAATGCACACCCTAAGTGGCTGTGTAACCTGGGCAAGTCACCTTACTTCTCTAAGCCCTCGCTTAAGGACAGACCCCAGCTTGCAGACTTGTGCCTAGCTCCTGCGGAAGGTGGGATGTGCTGCCTAGAGCCCAGGGTCAGCCTGCAGTGGACACAAAAACCACAGACTTTGATGGACTTGCCACTTAAGAGACAGGTGACCCTGGGCAAGCCATGTCTCCCCTAGGATCCCAGCGGGAAGGTGGTAATGAACCCTCTCACAGCTGCAGCCCCCATGAAATTATTCTGAGGGAAGAAGAACCCATTTATTGAACAAATATTTATCGAGCACTTCCTGTGGGTGAGGTTCTGGGGACAGCAGGCTCTGGTCCCTCAGAGGGCTCTGCCCCCACGGGAGTCACACGCTTGTGCAGGAAGCAGGCCGTGAATGAACAAGCCCCGTGTTCCACGTGAAAGCGTTAGTGCTGCGTGGAGAAGGGAAGAAAAGAGGGGAGCTGAACAGACAGGTCCCCAGCAGGTGAAGTGCGAGCCGTGGTCTAGGAGGAGGGGCAGGGAGATTTCTGAGATGGAACAGCAGGAGCAAAGGGCCTGGGGGAGGGTGTGGCTGGCATCGAGGATGGCAGTGAGTGAGGGAGAGAGTGCCAGGCGGCGAGGGCAGAGGGGCACGAGGACAGAGGGCGCAGGGCCGTATGGGCTTTGTAAGGACCCTGGCTTTTTTTCTGTATGAGCTTGGAGTTTTAGAGGGCGCCAAGTAGAGGGGGTAATGGTCTGGCTGTGCGTAGAGGGGCCAGGGCAAAGAAGGGTATGAGAGGGAGACTGCGGTAGCCAGTCCTGTGTTTAGTGAGCGTGTCACCCCTGCCCTGAGGCCTCGTGGTGGCTCCTGTCACCTCTGGGCAAAGCCCTGACTCCCTAGCATAGCGCTGGATGCCCTGTTGCTGCCTGAGTCCAGGTCCGTCGTCCTCCATGGCTCCTTGTGATGTCCCCTCTCTGCACACTGTCCCCTCCCTCGGGAGCTCCCTCCCACCTCCCTTTCCAATACAGTAGCCCTTGAACTAGGAGTTAGAAGCTAGAGGAGGGGGGGTGTGCTGGGAAGGGCTGGGGAGGCCTGGGGCCATGTCTCCCCCTCCTCTTTGACTTCCTGCAGGACCTCTGCAGCCAAGGCACGGCCGCCCCCTCTGGGCCTAGTTTTTTCCTGCTCTGTAAAAGGGGCAGGGTAAGGGGCCTCCTGAGGTGGCTCTGCTTTAGGGTGATGGCATCTCGGGGACCCTCAGATGTGCCAGGCTAGCATGGGTAGCCCTGAGCCAATCAACTCCCTCAGTAGCATCCCTGAGTTACCTGTGCAGCTCTGAGCTTGGGCAGAGCAGATGCCAGGCAGCCTGGTCCCAATCCCAACTCCACCACCAGATGGCTGTGCAATCTGGGGGAGTCACTTGCTCACACTGGGCGGTTTCCCCATCTGTGAAATGGAAAGAATATTTGGCTTCCTCCTGGGAACACGGGGGAACCAGGGAGACAGGAAGGGACTGCTCTCTGCGCCTGAGCAAACACCTATCAACTTGGGCCATTGGCCCAACTGTGTGACCTGGCGCCCCTTGCTTGCCGGTGCCTCAGTTTCCCCACCTGTGAAGTGCTGATCACACAGCTGTCCTGCAGATACGCTGGCGGATGCATGTCAGTGGGTTCCAGAGCAGAATATCAACCATCCATGATCCATGAATAGTCTCCAAGAAATACTGGTGCTTCCTCTAGTCAAACAAATACCCATTTGGTTTAATCTAACTTAACAAATTAATGAGATCCGAGGAAGAAAATTCCAGGCCTGGGGACATTCACTGCAACCCAAGAAGGCAGCCAGAGACAGGCACCCTGCTAGGAGCCCTGGAGACCAGCAGGATCCTTAAGGTTTTCGGTAACTGTGCCTTGCAGCTGGGTAACCTTTGGGAAGTCCCTGTCTTGGACCCTCGGTCTCTTCTTCTCCAAAATAAGTGTGATGGCTTCCTGCCTGCCAGTCTACTTGTAGGACTGCGCCTTGGTTCATCCTCATCACTGGTATTTATTAAGTGCCTCCTGTATGCAAAGTAATGTTTGTCATCTTTCTGCCTTGTCTCCCTCTGTCCCTCCCTCCTGGCAGGAAACCACTGCAGTCCCTTTCCAGAGAGGACAGCGGCTGGGGGCGGCTGGAGATGCTGCCCAGGGAGAGAAGGAAGTGGGGGGCTGGGCAGGCCACTGACGCAGCTGTGATGTCAGAGCCAGGCCACAGGCGGCGGCCAGCCCCGGGCTGCTGGTGCCCTCTCTGCCTCTGCTGGCTGGCCAGGCGCCTCCCAGCCCCCACCCCCCTTAACCCCTTCCCAGACGGGCCTTGCCGCAAGATTCCCAGATTTCACAACCAGGGCTGGCGCTGAATCATGTACAGTAAGTCCAGGGAGAGAAACTCCCGGCGGCCTGGCGGTCAGGGACAGGATGGCCGCCAAGCCTGCCCGCCTGCTCTCCAACAGCCCAGCAGCAGCCAGGGCTTGTCCCAAGGGGCTGCAGACCTGCTGGGTGGCATGGGGCAGGCAGGAATCAAGGGTCCTCGAACTGGGGACAGGCCACAGGATGGAGGTAGCCCCGTCCTCCATTGTGATGGCTTAGAATGGTCCCTCACTATAACTCTAAGCTTCAGTGTCCATGACTGGAAAATGAGATGTCACAGGACTGACCTCCTGGGTCACCACAAGGACTGGCAACATGACCCGTATGCAGGCGCGGGACAGGAAGTGCCCAGTAAATATCGTTGCTGTGATGACACACTCCAGCTGACACCCTGGAGGGACTGTCCAGTCCCTGATGCTCCTTCCCTGGGACAAGTCCACTCTCCACCCCCATGGTACGACTCATCCTTATCTTCTCAAACATCTTCATGACATCAACAAACACTTATTAAACACCACTGTGTTCCAGGCATGCTGCAGGGTCCTGAGCTACAGCAGCAGAAGGAACAGAAAAAATTAAAAAACCCACCTGTTCTTACAGAGCTTGAGTTCTAGTTGGGGGAATTGGAAATAAGCTACCATGTCGGTGGGCAATGGGGCTCTGCAGGACAGAAAGCATGGGGCAGGGTGATGGACGGGACAGTCGGCCCCTCCCAGGAGACCCGGATGAAAGGAGAAGCCAGTGAGCACCTGTGTGGAGGGGAACTGCCGTGCAAAGGCCCTGTGGTGGGTCCCTGGCCTGTTGGAGTCAGTTAGGCTGTGAGGCTTGAGCAGGCAGGTGTGGGTGGGAGGGGGAGGAGAACTCTTCCCAGAACAGCCTTCAGGTGCCTGCCCCGCACTGGGGAGGGCAGCACCAGCTCAGGCCCACCTATTAATCCTTCTCTGGGTCCTGGAGATCTGGGCCTCTGCATTGAGGCTGCAGCTGGGACTCTGATCCCTCTCCAAGGTGGGGTCCCAGGGGGCTTTGGGTAAGGGGGATGGGGAGCCCTCCCTGCTCCTTAGGAGAGCAGGGCTTTCATTTTTGCACTGCCGAGCTTCAGTGTACCCACCTGTGAGGTGGGCACAATGAGGCCTCCTGGAAGGACTCGGGGTAGAAGGGCTACAGCCTCAGCGTCTGGCCCCCATCCGGGAAGAGGTGAGGCATCCAGGGCTCACTGGGGACCAGGCCAGGACTGAGGAGTCAGGCGTGTGCGTGCGTGGGTGTGGAGGAGGGGAGGGGTGGGTGGGCAGCCACAGGGTGGGTGGGGGGCACACGGGTGGGTCTCCAGAGGCGGGGGCAGCTGCTGTCTGGTTCTGTGGCCCCTGGAGGAGTCAAGGTGAAGCTTAAACAATGTCCCCAAGGATGTTTTAAAATATTTATTTATTTTTATAAAAAGCCCTTTGCCACCTCCCTCAGGCCATGGAAGCCAAGGCTGGTGGTGTTGGTGGCTGTGGCCTGGCTGTCACTTTGGCTTCCTACAGAGCAGCCAGGACAATGGTGGGGTTGGGCCCTACGGTGTCCACACATGTGAGTATCAAGCAGCCCAGGCCTACGGGACAGGCCGGTCCTCACCCCATCGTACAGATGAAGGGTGGGAGTCCCCTGGCCCAGGGGCAGCAGAGCTGGGGTTTGAACCTTGGCCCTTCTGCTGTCCCACAGCCCCTGCCCTGCTGGGGTCAGGGGTCTCAGGGCCAGCTTGGCCTTCCAAGCCAGATGGCTGTGGCATGTTCGGCCCCTCCCCTTCAGGAGAGGAGCTGGCTGGGGTGGAACCAGAGTCAGAGGCCGCTCAGGCCACGGACTTTCCCTGCTCTGTCCAGGGTAATTACCTGCCCAGTTACCAGCGCCCACTTCCTGCACCTTTCATCCGGGCTCCAGGGCTGCAGGCAGCAATTAACCCTCCCAGCACCCTCTGAAGTCTGTCCTGGAGGCAGACTTGTTATTAAACCTATTTTACAGGTAGGTAAACTGAGGCAGAACCCATTGTGGCCTGGGAGCCTGCTGTTCCCCTGTGACTCAGCAGCTGAATTGGTCTCTACCTTCTTCCCATAGGAAGCAGCGGATGGCTCGGTGCCTCTCTCCCCTCGCCAGGGCTTCAAGCAGGTCCTGGAAGGCCCCGGGGGTCTCCTGTTCCCCCCGCTCCCTCTCAGACACATAAGGGCGTGGGTTGGAGCTGATGGAAGGAACTGGAATCTGGCTTTGCTGTGTGACTCTGACAAGTCTCTGCCTTTGTCTGGGCCTTAGTGGCAACACTGAGTCTCTTCAGTGGTAACATAGGGATGATTCTAAAAACCAGGAGATCTGCCTCTGATCCATCTGAACTTCCTCCCTGCAGTCCGTTACGCTGGCCTCCTCACTGTTCCTTGAACACACCAAGGACCTTCAGACCGCAGGACCTTTGCACATGCAGAGCCATTTGCCAGGCACTTTTCTATGCTTCTTGGCTTAAGCGTCAACAACGCAGCCTGGAGAGTGCCCAGTCCTCCCCCGTCTTGCTTTTCTTCTTCTTTTTTTTTTATGGCAGCACTAGGGTTTGAACTCAGGGCCTTGCACTTGCCATGCAGGCATTCTTGAGTCACTTGAGCCCCATTCACAGCCCTTTTTAGCATTGGTTACCTTTGAGATTGGAGGGTCTTGCTTTACGTCCGGGCTGGCTTGGACCACCGCCCTCCTGTTGATGCTTCTGCTGTAGCTGAGATGAAGGCAGCTGCCACTGTGTCCATCTTTTTTACTGATTAAGAGAGGGAGCTAGTGATGTTGTTGCCAAGGCTGACCTCGAAGGAAGATCCTCCTTGATCCCTGCCTCCCAAGTGCTGGGATTACAAGCGTGACCACCAGCCTGGTGCGCAACAGTGTCCCTCTCTGTCTTTTCTGCACCCTTTCAGCTCCTCAAGATAGGATTTGGGTCGATTTGATCCCCGGTGTGCCCCAGTGCTCAGCCAGTGCTGGACACACGTAGGTGCTTGTAACACGATCACCTCTTCTAGCTAGCTCCAGCATCAGCTGGGAGCCGCTTTCCATCTCTGCTCCTCACCCTGTTTGGGCACAAACATGGGCTGGCCTAGTGTCTCGGATCAGTAGCTTTGCCAGGACAGCTACTTGTGATGTCCCCGCAGAAGGCTGAGTAGAATGGGGCGAGGAGAGACCCGAGCCTCTGGTGCAGATGCCGTGCCTTGTTGTGGCCACGCTCCAGCAGATCTCGGCGACCAGCCACCCTCCCTTGCAGGCCTGTCAGCACCTTGGGGTAAAGAATTTGTTAAGGGGGAAAGAGAAGAAAAGCAAGCAGGCTGTGAGGGATGCACCCCACACCTGTGTAAACAGTTCTTTTTAG